GCATCTGCCCCGGGGTCCCCTTGGGGCAGCTGGTGGCGGTGGCCAGGGAGGCAGACCCCCACCCAGGGACCACAGACCCCCAACCAGGGACCACAGCCCCTCATCCAGGGACCATAGACCCCCAACCAGGGACCACAGACCCTCACTCAGTGTCACAGCCCTGTCCCAGGGACCACAGCCCCCCAACCAGGGACCACAGACCCCCAACCAGGGACCACAGACCCTCACTCAGTGTCACAGCCCTGTCCCAGGGACCACAGCCCCCCACCCAGGGAGCACAGACCCCCTCCCAGGGACCACAGCCCTGTCCCAGGGAGCACAGCCTCTGGCCCAGAGTCACAGCACCTCACTGGAGATCGCAGCCCCCCACCCAAGGCCCTGCTTCTCCTGCTGCCACCAGAGAAGGGCTCCCCCAGCACTTGCTGCAGGCAGTGGGGATGATGGGGGTGGTTCCTCCAGCCTCACCCCACCCCTCACTCCCCTTGCCCCGGGTGTTGCGTCCCCCCGTTTCCCAGCTGGATTTTCAGCCGGGAGGGAAGGCAGCATCCCGCAGCAGCTGAGCTCCAAACAGGCAGGAGCAGGAGCCAGCCCAGAGGGGCTGAGCCAAAGCCTTGCCCTGCACACCTGTCCCTGAGCCCTGCTGAGCACCGGGGGTGAGGACTCCGATGTCCCTTGGGAAGGGGACATTCCCAAGGTGTCAGGAATGGTGTGGCAGCAGGACCAGCGCAGTGAGCCTGGGCACTGATGAGGTCACCCCTCAAATCCTGGGGGTCAGTTCTGTGCCCCTCCTGACAAGAGGGACATTGAGAGGCTGGAGCATGTCCAGAGAAGGGGATGCAGCTGAGGAGGGGTCTGGAGCACCAGGAGAGGATGAGAGAGCTGGGGGGGGCTCAGCCTGCAGAGAAAGAGGCTCAGGGGGGTCCTTCTGGCTCTACACAACTCCCTGACAGGAGGGGGCAGCCACGTGGGGGCCAGGCTCTGCTCCCAGGGAACAAGAACAAGAGGAAATGGCCTCAAGTTGCTTCAGGAGAGCTATGGCATTTCCCAGGAGAGGTTTAGGTTGAATATTAAAGAAAATTTCTTCATGGACAGGACTGTCCAGCCCTGGCATCGGCTGGGTGGAGTTGCCATCCCTGGAGAGATTTAACAAATGTGTATGGAGCACTTGGGGACGTGACTTAGGGCTGGCCTTGGCAGTGCTGGGGGAACGGTTGGACTTGATGATCTTTGAGGCCTTTTCCAACCTCAAGGATTCCATGATTCTATTCTATGATTCTAAGCACACGCAGCCCGACCCAGCTGCCGTTGGGGCCAGCATTCCCCAGGAGCTCGGATAAAAGCACAGGACAGGCTCCTTGAACAGGGCTGGGGTGGATCCCGGTGCCACCTTCACACCACACTCCAATAAACCAGCTGTAAAGCCTCTGGGTTTTTCGTTTTCCCTAACCTCAGCAGTTCCGTGGCTCTCACACAGGGGCATTGGCCAAGGAGAACTCTGGCTTTCTCATTCCTGTACTTCAAAGATGCTGGTAATGTTCCCAAAGGCACAGGGAATACTGTAACTGGTATTTAGGGAAAGTAAATAGGACAGGGAGGTCATTGCGGGCTGTGGCCAGTGTTGGCCACAGCCAGAATAGAGGGGACTCTGTCCAGGGGCCACCCTGGAGACGGTGGCACCAGCCTAATTTGTCCGTAAGGTTTGGTGGATGGGGCCACTGATATCATTTACTCTGCCTTTCCGACAGCGTCTGACATTTGGATTTTTAAAATATTCCCCCAAAAAGCAAGCTGGGGAAAACCAACAGCACATATGGAATGAATCAAGGGCTGGCAGTGGTGGAGGCTCCAGCTGCAGGGATAAACAAGGAGACACCCGCAGGCCACGGGGGCCGGAGCCCCCGGGGCACCCCTGGCCCCAAGCCGCCCCGCCGAGGAAAACCGAGCGATTTCCGAGCGCGTAGAGGAAACACTGACGGGAACGGCGCATTCCGGAGGGAGAGCGTCATGGCTTTACTTGGCGCCCGCGACACACGCGAAGGTTTCAAGGGGGCCACGTGTGGAAGTGTGGTCCAGGAGCCGCTGCAGAGGGAGCTTCCAGAGGGATGGGAAGAGCTGGGAGGGAGGGGAGGCTGGGAAGGAGCAGGCCTGGCCAGACCCCGGTGCCAGGAGCACACGGAGCCCCTCGTGCAGGGGCTGCACTCCTGGCATCTGCTGCCACTCCTGAGGAATGTGGAGGAAGAGTTGACCTCCGGAGCCCCCCAAAGCCCCCCAGCACTCCCCTGGCTCTCACTGCTGGCGCCACAGGTATGTCTGGATGGAGTGGGCTGGAGCCACAGTCTCAATGAAGCCCATGGCAGGGTCCTGGATTCCAAATGGCACATCCCGGCCAAACCTGGGGAGCGAGAGGGGCTGAGCCGGTCGGCACAGCCTGGGCTGAGCATCATCCCTGTCCCCTGCCCGGGCTGACCTGTTGAGGACCACCAGGACAAGAGCACCGTCGGGGCGCAGGACGGCCACGTGCTCCAGCTGGCAGAGGAGGCAACGGCGGCTGCTGTGCAGCCCCACCCGCCGGGAGCCCTCGGGGATGAACTTGCTGTGGGGAGAGGACCAGGAGATGGGTTCTGCCCCTGGTCTGGGGCTGGCGGCAGCACCTGAGCCCCCCTGACCCACCTGAAGTGCCCCATGTGGTAGAACATGGGCTGCTTGTAGAAAACGTCCTTGCTGCCATCCACGATGACTGGGCTGTCCACAAAGTTCTTGACCCAGTTGGGGCCTCCCTCCAGATCCAGGACCAGGTTCCAGTCGGTCCAACCAGACACAAAGTGGTTCATGACCTGGGGGGGCAGGGAAGGGGCTGTGCAGGGCTCCCCCCAGCCCCGGGCGGGCCGTGTAGGGGCCGTACCGTCAGGATGCTGTAGCTGTAGTGGTCCCCCCGCTCCCAGCAGCCCAGGGACACGGCGAAGCGGAACATGAAGAAGCCAGTGCAGGCCTCCGTGTAGAGGAGGAAATGGTCGGGGAAGAGCTTGTGGGTGGCCTCCAGGCTGCAGCCGGGCGGGACAATGGCATCCAGGTACCAGTGGACCGCCAGGCCAGCCACGTAACGGGCAGCTGTGGAATTTCCCAGGACCTAGGGAGCAAAGGAGATGCCTCACACCGACGCTCCCTGTGCCTGAAGCCTGCGGGGATGGACACATGGACTCCGCGTGCCAGTGTGGTCTCTCAGGGCCACCTCTTGTCCCCTCCCATGGGCACCACAGCCCACCCCACCTGCAGCCCCCTCCCTGCAGCACCCTGGCATGGATCTGGTGCCCCAGCGTGGTTTGGCACCTCGGGGGGTGCAGTGCACAGGGGGTGTGGCACAGGTTTGCCTCTCAGTGGGCCCTTTGCCCCCCACCTGGGCCCTGCTGCTGCCTGGTCCTCACTCCACATCCCCCTGGGGTGGTCCAGCCCTGCAGCTGGAGGAAAAGGAGGGGCAGGTTGCCTGGCTTGAGGCCAGGGCAGGAGCACATTTTACTTTCTTTCCTCCTAGTTTTAGGTAATTCCCCCAAACAACCCTTGCAGCATTGTTGGGGGGGAAACCAAATCAGCCAAAACACTGCCCAGAAAAGGTGCTGGTGTCCAGCAGCACTGCCAGGATCCAGGGATCCAGGATGGGGGTGCCACCTCCTGTCCTCACTCCCGCCGGGCACACGCGGAGGCGGCTGCTCTGGAAGGAGCCGGCTCCAGCTCCCACTCCGGCAGACCCGGTTTGCTCCCACTCTCCAGGGCTGGGAGAGGCCGCCGGCTCCATTCCCAACAAAGCCTGGGGCTGGGGAGCGAGGGGAAAGGCAGGGGCACTGCTGTTCACCACTTTGGCCCAGTGTGGGAGGTGGATGCGCTGGTCGTCGAGCATGAGGAGCCGTGTGCGGTGGGGGCTGCGGGCCAGCGCGGGGCCCAGGTCCTGGGCGATGAAGTCCCGCTGCTGTGCAGCCGTGAAGGCGATGGTGGGGGCCTGGGGGGGCGTGAAGAGCCCCGCCAGCGGCTCGTTCTGCGCCGTCACTGCCCAGAAAGTCACGTTGTGTTTGGCATATTCATCCAGGAACCTGGTGCAGAGAAGGGGGGGCAGAATCAGCTGTGCTGCCCCTCCACTCCCACCCTAATCCTCCTCCCACTGTCCATCCCAGCCTGGTTCCAGAGACAGTACTTGATGAAGTAGTTGGCCCAGGTCTTGTGGTACTTGTCCCCTGCCTTCCCCTTCAGAGCCCCTTTCCCACGGACATCCCCGTTACTCCTCATCCAGGCTGGGGCGGTCCAGGGGCTGGCGAACAGCAACAGCGGCCGTTTGCTCATGGCCAATGCTCGGCGCAGGAGGGGAATCTGTGGGAGGGAGCAGGATCAGCTGCAGCCACAGTTCCCCAAAACCACAGGGCCCAGCTCTGGAGGAAGAGGAGAACTCAGGGGACCTCAGCAGGGATTGGTAGCTGGCAAGCACCACCCCAGGCACAGCGCCCTTGCTCCTCACCCTGCCAGTGCCAGCTGGGATGCGCCAGGACGTGCCCCGGAGGAGGTGCCAGCTCCCACAGGCTGTCCCCATGCTGCACTGCCACAGTGTGCAGGGCTCAGCAGCACCTGGTCCTGGGGGTCCCGGCACAGGCAGGAGCTCCGGCACCAGAGGGGACAAGGTGCTGATGGCCGCAGCTTCAGCCTCCCACCTTCATCTTCACGTCCTCGTCCGCCAGCCTGAAGTGTTTCAGCTCGTAGTCATCAGGGACATCATCGTAGCTGTAGGGGCGCACAGAGAAGTCGCTGCAAGCCATGGGGACCCGGATGAGGTTGTACTCAATCCCTGAGGAGCACGAAAAGCATCAAGCGGCACCGGAGCATCCAGGTGACGACGTCCCTGCAGCAGGGACAGGCACAGCCACCTCTGGTGACCCCACGATCTGCTCACACCGCCGTGCCCGCACCGCTCACCGCTCTCAGAGAAGTAGGAGCGCAGCAGGTTGTCCTGGGCTGGCTGTGACAGCTTCAGGATGTTCATGGCAGCAGCATCAGAGAGGGACCCTCCGAAGCCCTTCACATGCTGGTACAGCGTGGAGATGTTGAGGGTCAGCAGCAGCCCTGGGGGAAGAGCCCGGCTCAGTCCGTGGTGACCCCGGGGGTCCCTCGGGGGCACCGCCACCCACCCGTGGCAGTACCTGGGGTGCGCAGACTGCTCTGGAATCTCCCCTCGCTCCTCTCCAGCCGCTTGCCGGCCTTGCTGCTCTCGTACTTGACGTAGGAGCCGGGGGTCGGCAGGACCAGGGGGTCCAGCGTGTCACAGTACGTGGCGTTGCACACACAAACCAGCGAGCCGTGCCCAAAATCCTTGGGGATGCAGGGTCGGGCACCTGGGAGGCGTGGAAGGGTGGCGGTGGCTGATGGCTCAGGGACGTGTCCCTGTGTGCTCCCCCGCCTGCCCCAGGGCGATGCCCGTGCTCCGCATGCCGGCACCTCCCGGGCGCAGCTCC